AGGAGCCAGCAGAGAATTGTTTGTCGATATTGTAGGAGGTAACCTGACCTTCAAAATTGTCCTAAACTTTATTATGCCACACAGTGTTTCAGCTATTTGACTATATTTCTGAAAGTTGTGCATGCAGAGTCACAGGTCTGTGACTTTGTTCTTACAAATTTGTTCTTACAAATAACAGATGACTTGTAAACCTCAGTCTGAACTATAATACTGAATGTAAACAAGTCACTTCCTTAGGAAAATATATACTGTAAACCTGTACCTGGAAACTGATGGTGTATGATGAAGTGATTTGATTTTGTGTTTTTACTTAACTATCTCTAACATGCTAATTATTTGTGTCATGCTTTAAAATAAAAAGCATTTGCTCACCTAACATTCTACAGTACTGTACCTGTATTATGAAAGAGTTTATGCTGAATAGTCTTGGGGTCAGAAACAAGTGTGTCTTCTCATCTGAGGCTATGGAGAACTAGAATTCAGAAAAAAAAGTAGTCTTATATATGCTTAAATATGTCAGATGATGGATTGATTACATGTCATGAAGTTGTTGTCAACTCTTAGTGACCACATGTATAGATTTTCTGTGGAGTCCTTTGTGCTCTCTAAGCTTAGTGGTTTTCTTGCAGATATTACATTACCAAACTAGATAACATCATCAGTGCTAGTCAGTGCTTTCTCCATGATGATCTATTCTTAACCTAGTCCTTCAACTCTTCCAATGTGCACTCATGGATACTGTAACTGCTGGTCATCCTCTTCTTCTCTTTCCTTCCAACTTTCCTAGCATTAGAGCCTTCCCTAGAGACCTACAGTAGGTCTTTGAATAATGTGTCTGAGGTAGGATAATTTGAGCCTGGTCATTTGTTCTTAAGTAAGAATTCTTGGTTAATTTATTCAATGATCCATTGGTTTATTTTCTTGGCTATCCATGGTATTCTCAAAAGTCTCAAGTCTCAATACTCTTTCTACCTTGCTTCTTTAAAGTCCAACTTTTGCCCTCATAGAGTACCATGACTTGCATAATTTTGACCTTTGTAGGTACAGAAACATCATGACAGGTGAATATCTTTTCTAAGGTCTTCATGCCTGCTTTACCTAATGCTGGTCTGTGGTGTATATGTTGACTGTTTCTTTACTGTTGATAGATTATCCTAAAAGATAGAGGCTGTGCAACACTTTGATAATTCTATTGCTGATTCTAATGATGGTTGTTCTATCTGTTGTCATTAGTTTGGTCTTTTTTATATTTGTTAGAAAGGTGTTCCTTGACTTCTTCTTTTTAGTGGGGCTTGCAGATCTTTTGTTTTTCCAGTTATCAGAATAGTGTCACCATCATAGTACAGGTTATTGATGTTTCTTCTTCCAATTTTAAAACCACGTTCATCTTCTTTTAATCCAATTTCCTTTAATATACATTTAGCATATAGGTTGAATAAATAAAGGGGGAGTATATAAGCTTGCTTCACACCTTTGCTAACTTGGAACCAGTTTGCTTCATCTTTTGGAAAACTTCCTGTGTTATGCCTTTTGTTTTCAATTTTATAGATGTAATATTGCTTCTTGTCTCTTCTAACAATTCTCCAAAACTCTTTGTTAATTTCTTTTCAAATTTTTTATCTTACTTCCCTTTGGCTTTTTTTTCTTTCCTGGCAATTTCCATCATTTATTGGGATACCCATTTTGCTTTTCTATTTTGTTTTTGGCAGTTGTTAATTTTTGGCAGTTGTTTTTACCTTAACAACTTTTAAAAAATTCTTTCCATAATCCCTCTGGTTCTCTATCAACCAGATGCAGGATTTCAAATTGATTCCAGATGTTATCCTTGAAATGGTGGTTATATATTCAAGATCATATTGTGAAAATTGACCTGATTTCTTCTTCTTTTTTAGCACACCGTGGAACTTGCACATGAGCAATTTCTGTTCCATAGTCAGCACCTGGCCATATCTTTAATGCTATAATTGAGCTTCTCCACCTCATCTTAGCAATAATTTGATTTCTGTATACTCCATATGGTGATGCCCATATATAAAGGCATCATTTTGGTTGCTTGAAGAATGTTAGCCAATAAGAAATCATTGGAATGGCAGAAATTGATATGTCGATTTCTTGCTTCATTTCATACTATCCAATTACATTTTCCACTCTCATGTTTCCAATTTTGGTATTCCAGTCTCCAATCAAAAGCAGCTCATCTTGCTTCCATGTTCTATCAATTTCAAATTTAACTTGATCACAGAAATCAACAACCTCCTCTTCTGCATCAGTGGTTGAAACATAAACTTGAATGATCTATCATATTAAAGATGTGTCCATGAAGTATAATCAATATTATTTGGGCATTAGATTACAACTTGCATTGTAGCAAGTACTCTTCTTGATATACCTTTCATAATTATAGGAAAAGATTTATCTTCTTTGCAGACAGCTGGTCACTTGCATCCTTTTAAAGGGTCATTGAAGCACTTGGAGATTTATCTGTATCATCAGGGTCACCAAAGTAGTGCTCCTGGTTCCTCTACTCTGCAATTTTTCTTCTGGAAATCCATTCCTGCTCCCACACCATTCAAAGGATGTTCATCCCAAATTGTATAGTAAAAGAATATAAATCCTTCCATTCCCCACTATCTTGTCAGAGCTGAAGAAATTTCTTGGATGAGAAGCAAAATGTCTTCAAAAGAAAAAACCAGAAAGTCCAGTTGCCTCCTGAAAAAGCACTTTTGGGACAACCATGACTTGGATAGCTGAGAATCTCTACCGACGTCATTGTTAGGCTCTCCGTGCACTTTGGTCTATTTTCCTTTCACCTTTCTTTGCCCCTCAAACTTCCTATTTGTATTAGGTTGAAAGAAATCATAAATGTGTTCATATGATTCAAAATCCACACCTGCTGGCTTGAATTAAGTAAAGAGGAAAGTTAATTTAAGCCAGCTGATCTGGATATTGAGTCTTGATGGTATTTTAACTGAAAAATATTGTTTTAAGTAAAAACACATTTTACCTACAAGAACCTGTAGCTTGATCAGGATGTCTGCAGCATGGCAATGTTTGATCAACGGGGTGAATGGCATTTTAAAGGCTTTGGTGACCTTTTAACAAAACTGTTAAGAAACAACTTTTGACTCTGGTGGGTTTGGCAAGCTTTGGATTGAAGGATACTTCAACCATAACAACACAAGAGCACACGATAGATACAAACTCAAGGTTAACCGCACCAAACTTGATTGTAGGAAATATGACTTCAGCAACAGAGTGGTTAATGTCTGGAATACTCTACCTCAGGGATCCCCAACCTTTTCGACGCCGCGGCCCGGTTCCGGCGTCAGCTGGGCGCCGCGGCCCGGTTCCGGCGTCAGCTGGGCGCCGCCATCTTTTTTTGACGAAAAATCACTTCCGGTGATGTCACCGGAAGTGATTTTTCGTCAAAAAAAATGGCGGCGCCAGCGCTTCTGGTGAGCTTTTTCGGGTAGAAATGGCTTTCTACCCGGAAAAGCTCACCCGAAGCGCTGGCGCCGCCATCTTTTTTGACGAAAAATTGCTTTTTTTACCAAAAAAAGATGGCGGCGCCCAGCAACCAGCGGCCCGGTTAGGCTTGTTCCGCGGCCCGGTACCGGTCCGCGGACCGGCGGTTGGGGACCCCTGCTCTACCTGACTCTGTGGTTTCTTCCCCAAACCCCAAAAACTTTAACCTTAAACTGTCTACTATTGACCTCACCCCTTTCCTAAGAGGTCTGTAGGGGGCGTGCATAAGCGCACCAACGTGCCTACTGTCCCTGTCCTATTGTTTCTTTTATTTTTCTTATATGAACCCATTTCATGTATTCATAACTATGTATATACTTATACCTATTATCTTGTAAGCGATTGACAAATCAAATAAATAAATAAAATAAATAAAGGAGTCGAGACACCCTCTTAGGGGCAGTCTTCAGTAACCCAAAGCTCCCAAAGCTGCTAAAAAGTGAGTGGTATAGCAGCATTTATGATGTCTGCAATAGTCCTGTGCAGATTATGTCCAAGATTACTGTGTGGTGCATCAAAGGGATTAAAGAGTGAAAAACTATGATCCTGCAGAATCCCCTGGTGAGTAATTGGAGACCGAGCGAGAATGCTGAGATTCACCCAGGCTCTAAGCTTGAGCATAACACAATTCTCTTTACAAATCCTTAATAAGCTATAAACATACGAAAAAGCCTTAATATAAATGTCATGACCATGATTATGTACGTACTTCCTCTTCATTAGGGTGCTTTCAAGATTCTTTGTGTACTTGGCTTAAAGCAGGAACTGTGTTCTCTTTCTTTCCGTCCTTCCCTTCTACTCCTTCTGCCACTGTCTCCATCAATATCTAAGCAGCCTTATGAATCATGAGACAGCAAAGCAACTGGTATCATTTCAGTGTCCTCCAGACAACTAGGTTATTACAGCTTCAGGGATAAAAGACTCAAGCAGGGTTTGGAACCTACCATGGAGCTGAGAAAGCTCAGCTTTAAAAGGTAACACACAGTCCCAACAATTTAAAATTATGCAAAACAAAAATTGATTTATAAAATCAGAGTATCAACCAAAATTGACATACAATGTAAAAAGAATACAGTAAAAAATATGCACAATATAAAATCACATCAGAACTAAAATAATTTCCCTTTGCTCATCACTGGGTTGAGATGCACATGCAACTTTCAATTAATTCATACACCCTCTTTTGCATTGCCATCATTTTAGATGTAAGACTTCTGGTTACAAAGTATAGCAGTAGCACTTATATACCACTTCACAGTGCTCTGCAGCCTCTCTAAGCAGTTCACAGAGTCAGCATATTGCTCCTAACATTCTGGGTCATCATTGTAGCCACCTTGGAAGGATGGAGGTTGAGTCAACCTTGAACCAGTCAGAATCAAACTGCTGAACTGCTGGCAGTCGGCAGTCAGCAGAATTAGCCTGCAATACTGCACCAGCGTGGCTCTGATATAAAATATATAAAGAAGAATACTCACCCGTTGTTGACCTGATTGTTGAGGTGACGTTAGAAGATGCCATTGAAGGGAGACATTCATCATCTTGAGAGTAACCAGCTTGAATGGCGCGCAGGTAACTATGACTTCTGGTTCGGAAGCAACCTGGCAAGCCGAGGGCATCCATGGCCTGAGCTTCAACTTCACTAAACACTGATTCACAAACAGATTCAAATTGCCCATTGACCTCTGCTTCACTCATCTAGATAAACAACAACATTGCATTTGGTGTGGTTTTTTTTCCCCCACTGGCTTTGCAGAAATGCATTATGTTACAATACACTATCAGAGCTCAAAAAGACTTTATTTCAATATAATTAATGCAATAACCCCATTTACTCCTTCCGCTCCCTCCTCAATATTGTTTATAATGCAGCAGTAGACATCAACTTAATTGAAATTAGCTTCCCTTTGCTATAATCTGAGAGTTTAGCAGACTATCTTTTAATTCCGGTGTTAGTCTGAAAGAACATTTTCAGACATTGATTTTTATTTCATTATATTACATTAAATAAACAGGAAGTATGTCCTAATGCTGAGGCATTATGATTGTTTTAATTTTTGTTAACCTATATTCCTATTGCCACTATTTTGCCTTTCTCAAGGAATCATCCTGAAAATAAAACAGAAATATAACTAAAATACCCCTTTCTCAAATCTTAAATGAGTAAATAGTTTTAGGAAAAAAATGACTAATTCCTCAACTCTTCATATTTAGAAGTTACAGCAACAAATTACCATTCTTATGACATCACAGCAGTGAATTCTGGTTCGTGTGCTTGCTTCATTTAACTTGTCCTTCCTTCCTTTAGTTCATTGTGTGAACTAGGAAAGCTGAATAGGTTAAGTCCCCAAACAGGCCACTGATTTGTTCAAACTATAATTAGTTAGCTAACTCTGACCTGGAACCAACTTGATTGTGGCTGGGCTAATCATTTCCTCAAATTTGGATATAATAGAAAATTATTCTGTATTTTAAACTGCAAAATGAGATTTTATTCCCTGGTACAGAAGAGGTAAGGGACAACATGACTAAGTGAAATTTCCCCAGACCATAAATGGAAATTTTTGTCTTCTGTTAAATTTGACCAGGAAAGTATGCATTCCAGCTGTCATTTCTTTCAGATAGTTCAATGGTCAATTCAGGAAATAACTGTTTATTCTGTACCTTACAGGTGTAAATGGGAGTGGAACTCAAATACATCTAAGGAGCAACGTTGGACATTAGCAAAGCTGACCACCATCAAGAACCATCTGATGCATCCTGATTTTTCTAGATATGAATTCAAAATAACCTCCTTTTAAGAGTTCTGCTTGAATTGCATTCTACTACCAGGAAAGCAGTACATTGTTACAACATCAAATGCAAAGTGCAAAAGAAGGAATGACAAGAAGTAAGAATTAGTACAACAGACATTGCTTCCATGCCTATAGGTTCTTCATTGGTACGGCATTTAACCATATCAGTAAGATCAGGTAGGGAGAAATATGAGGAGAACCAAAACATACTGCTTTCCTTATATATATTTTTAAACATTTTTTTTTGAAAAAAAAAAATATTTTCAATATATATCCCTGTTTATGGAAAATCCTAAGCCAGGGCAGGGCATTTGTGCTAATCTAGATATTTTGAGCAACATTTCCATCAAATAGGGCTGTTGGATGTAGAATTCAGCAACATCTGAAGAGATTTGGATCTCTTGCTTCTTTTCTTGACCATAGCCCCAATTGACTGCTATGCCCATCAGCAGTTCTGACTGCTGACACTTTGCTCCTCACCCCAGTAATATTGCTAGAACTATGCCAATATGAAGAAGCGGGGAGACAAATTGATTAAACATGAATGGTATTGTTAATTAAATAATTTCAGTGAGGTCTACACGGAATAAACACAATCATGCTCCATAAGTAGACCACCACAATGAATTTAATTATTGAAAATAATTATTACTGAAAATAATTATTTTCAATGCCTGCAATTATTATTTCAATTCTCCCATAGGAAGTCAGGTGGCATACAAAAGTGATAAATAAATAAATAAATTCTAATAGTATTAAGGGCACTCTGGAAAGACAAACAATCTTATTTTTATTAGATTTATTAAGAAAGAGAGGTGGACTTGCACAATTATAAATATGAGGAAGAGGATGTCTTATTTCCTTACGTGCAAACCCAATCTGCTAGCAGAAAGGATCTTTGTTTTCTGTTGAAGAAAAATGAGAGCAAAATGGCATATTACCCTCTTCTGCAGTATAGATGAATACCTTATTATAGAGGTACAAAGAATGCACAAGATGGAGAACATCTGAGGAAGAACGGTTTCTATCAAACCTGAATTACCCTCAGCTTGTATTGTCCTTTGGTCTTCTGCAGAAATGACAGAAGATATACCTAGCAAACTCCAAATGCTATGTGGCCATAGCATTCTCGTCATACCAGAGAGTATAGGGAACAGCCTTGAAGGACAGGAAGAAGAGTCGCTTCCAAGGCAATAGTCAGATAAGTAGGGCTTGAGTAGGGGCTAAGAAAATAACTTGAGAAAACCTTTCAGACAAGCCCATGTCTAGTTCATATGAAGACAAAGTGAGGGAGGGGGAAACTACATTTAGACTTGCAAGATTCCATCACTATAGTTGTTACAATCAAAGTAGTCCTGATCTATAGGGTCTTGGTTTCTAGTCTGGCCTACCGTGTAGATCTGACACTAGCCTTATTTTTAAAAGAGAACCATGACCAAGTGGGGAATGCAGATTATAGCCAGTGGGCGTGGCTATAATTGGAATATGACAGAAAATGAATTATCAGGCTGTTCTTCCTTTTCCTCTGATATGTAATAATACAAAATTGTTATGAGGTCATATAACTCAAGAGCACCTGTCATTCATCAATTGATTTCTGCTCCAATTTCTTATGACTGTCTTACAAAGTACAATCAAAGCACCAAAATAACAGCAAAAAAGAACCCAGAGAAAATAAGTAAAAAAAAAACCAAACAGCTGAAACATCCCATTCTATCTAACCTACATCTTGGGGGGGAAAGGCCAGGTTCCAAGAGATTGTTTAAACAGGGTGGGGGTGGGGCAAACAAATATTGGATTAATTTTGGTGTCCCAGAGGGCAGAAGGCAGTAGTCCCTCTATGAAGCATAAGATTCCAGAATGGTGCTGGCTACATTTTCTGTTTAAGGAAGGGAGGAAGAAGTGATGCTGGATTGCTAGATTGCCAGCAGCCAGTCCTCTCTGTTATTTTAGGACTCTGCAAACCAGCTCTATATATATTTGCAGCACTGAAAACTATAGTCTCTATACCTTCAGTAGCCACTGGGACTCTTGTACAAGAGTTGCATAATGTTAGTAAGAATCTTTCTCTCCCATGCTGCTCAGATTTTCCTAACTATAGCTATTTCAACTATTAAGCTTTTACAGTAACGGTGGGCAATCACAACTGGACCTTTCTGAATTCAGCTATAACAGCCACAAAGCAATGTTACACACAAAGTGATTGAATGAATAAAATAAATATTTTAAAAAGATAAAAAAAGGTTTTTCCTGTCCAGTTATGTCCAACTCTAGGGGGCAGTGCTCATCTCCGTTGCTTGGCTGGTGGAGCCAGCATTGTCCAAAGACCTTTCTATGAACAATTGGCCAGCATCACTATAAGCCAAGGCACACAGACTGCTATTACTTTCCTATTGAAGTGGTACCTATTTATCTACTTGTATTTGTATGCTTTCGAACTGCTAGCTTAATAGGAGCTGGGGCAAGAATTGGGGTCTCGCTCAGTTATATGGTACTTGGATCTCGAACTGGCAACCTTCTGGTCAACAGCCCAGTGTTTTAATCACTAAGCAACCATGTCCTCTACAAAAAAAAAGAAAGAAAATTCTTACTCCAGTTTACTTTTTATACCTAAATATGAAAGGGATACCAAAACCAGACGCATCAAAATTAAACATTAAGTGGCTTTGGATTGTAGAGACCTGTCTTATAGAACATGATTCTCTTGAAAGCCAAATAAGGACTGGAGGAATATGGCTTTGGGAGAAATATTGATGGTGTCCCTGAATGAGAAAGATCTTTCTAATGTCTTATGGATCTAGGAACAAAGTCAATGGATGTGGTTTATGCCTGCAAATATATGACTAATCCACTTTAATTTGTGGTTTCTTTTAAAAAGTGAAAAATTACACTACTGAAATTATATGGATTATTTCCAAAAATTATCTACTCAATATTGGGGTAGATTTTAAACAACGTAGTTGAAAAAATGGGGTTCTGAAAATACATATGGCTCATAGGACGACTATTCCCTTTAAGTTTCCAGTTCAGCTTTTTTTTAAAGTAATTAACAAGCAAAAATAATAATCACTTATTTATTTGTGACTTTGTAGATACAAATGCAGGTATCAATGAGTGCAATCTAATTATTTATACTTATAATATATTGCAAATTACTATTAGTGTACAAGCACTGATTTAAGGATATATTAACTCAGTGGTCTATTTTGCATATATGGTATCAAGGAAAGAAAGTATTTGCCATAAAATATACAGTAAGGGAGCAGATAATTGGAATCTACAAATTGTTTTTTTCACTTATAAATTGTTCTTGTTAGGTGTATGCGTAAAACCATTGAAAACTATCATTTACAAACTTCAGTGTGTAAGCAGCCTGAGACTCTTCTGGTTTCCGTTAAAAAATCTTATTAAACTACACATAAACAAAGCTTTTGGCTTAGGAAAATAACCAGTAGAAATTATTGATTATAAGCCTGGGATACTTGGTCAAACTCCTGAATTTGTTTTTAAAAACCCTATAATTATTAATATTGTTGTAAAACGCATAACAGGAAAAAGAATCCAACCTGGCTAACGCAGCTGGCCTGACTGAGTGTGCTTACTGCTCTCATATAGCTCTGATTCCTTGATCGAAACTTAGGGGAATTGTAGTTTGCCGAAGGATCCAGGGTATGGCCACCAGGCACTTCACTTGTAGCTTGCAGATAGCTCTGACTATTAAAGAAAGATAGAAACAAAGTTGGAAAAAACTATGACAAAAACATTCCTGAAAGAGCTGAAAAGTGTTCTATATAACGTATCTTAATAAAGAAAATAAATGATTTCTGCATAGTGGGTATTTGCAGACACAGTACTGACAATTGTAATGTTCCAATGGCAAAAGAACGTATGATGGATTTGGCCTCTTCTGTTGCTAGGTAAAGTTTTGGCCCTGGCAGTACTAACCATCTGGTCAAAACAGGACATGTACTAGATCAGCCCTACCTAAATTCTACTATAAACTCTAATAGCATAATAAGTACTTCAGAATTCTGAAACAGTCAGATCAGTAAAGCTCTTCTGAAACCTGTTGACATCCTACTACAGGGAATACTCAAAATTTAGGCTCAGAACAAATCTCCCCCAAAGCTTACAGCCCCAAAGTTCATTTCCCCCTATGTATTTTTGAAGTATATAACATTCAGTTTATGTTAAATAATTTAATTATTCTGCAATAATAACCTATAGCCCCTTGCTGGTAATTCAAATTCATTCTGCAAGCCCGATAACACAAACAGCTCCCTCCCAAATATGATCTGCTGGTTAGTTCTTTCTTTCTTTCTGCTTAGTGTTTGAGATCTTTGTTTCTCTCTCAGCTTTGTATTATATTCCATTTCAAAACGGTGGATCATTTCATGTTCAGTAGGGTATCCGCTACATTGAGAACACTGTTTAATTCATGCTCAGTCCTCTCATTCATTTGCAATGGATCCCCAAGGATGGCTGTGCTGCCCATTTCATTAAGAAAGATGTCTCGGCCCAGGGCTGATGCTTATACACAATCCCAAAGGACGGCTTCCTGTAAACTAATTTAAACAGCACGTACTTTAAATCAAATATAGATTTGCTGTGCTTGAAAAGTTAGTTTAAACTTTTGCCACCCTTAACTCTGGGCTTAATTAGCACATCTCTTGCATAATAAAAAAAACAATATATTGAGAACAGTTGCATCTAAAGCAGCATGTAAGTGAGTAAGACAATAAGTAAGTACAATCCCTAGTAAATGACATTATATATTATTACTTCTAACTGAAGCTCAACACTAAATAATTCTAGGAAATAATTACCTAAATGTATTTATTAGGAAACTGGCTTATAATTATTATTCTTAATTTCATAAAAAAAATGTAGAGGGTCCAGTTCACACAGAAGCTTACCAGTAAAAATAGCAAACCTAACCAAAGCTAATTGGAGAACAAAAAAGACTCCTCCTAGGCTTTAATAATCTTTTAGAGGGTATTCTAATCAATGGAAGAATTAAGTGTCAAAATACTTCTGCCTTTCCTGCTGACATTCATCTGACCTAAAACTGTTAAACTTTTGCAGTACTTACTGCATTTTTTGAATGTCAGCAGTCAGTGTAAAAGACCTTTTCCTTTGAATGGTATATATTTACATATTAAATTAAAAATGCCTTTAGACACCTAGAAAAATTTAAAGAACATTGGGAAAAGGAAAAAAAAACTTACGTAACACAAACAACCAAATGACAGCTAAAACAAATGTTTTATAACTTTCAACCCTTTTATTTAATCCTAGCATTTCCATGTTTAATTTATTACTAAAACATATGATGTGCGCTGTAAATATTTGTGGAAAATGTCTCTGAAATTCAATATATTATACTTAAAACGACTTTCAAGGGCTGTAATAAATTTGCCTGGATCTAGTGAAGAGTTGAACGCTATTAAAATCATACGTTCTCTTCAGCATATAATAGGAATAAGAAAGAAAGAGAAACTAATGGCACACTGCTGAATTCTACAACTAATGGAATTTGGTAGAAAAAAATAGCAATCTTCTATTAAATATGTCAGAGAAACAAATTACCAAATCCGACATTGAAACATACCACATGCTAATCATGTAAACTGAGAGCTGCAATATGTTTACCAAGGCAACATGTCTTGATCAAATACAATGTACACTTAACGCCTGTTGTAGTGCTACCACTAATACAGGCTACAGTTAAACATTACTATAAATTATTCAAATAAAATTGCCTTGGTTTATCCTCAGGCATACCTTAACATTATTAATGTTAGCTTAGATTATACTCTCATTATATCCATTCATTTGATAGCTTGGCAAAATCTTGAACAGTAAATAAGTCTTCTTTGGGCAACCTGCTTAAATTCACAACATAAATAAAGTGCAATCTGATATACATCTACTCAAGATAAGATACAGGAGTTAGTGGACAGGTTCTTCTGTTGCAATATGCATAGAACTATATGAAAAAGTAAATAGGAAAGATGCTTTACTGGGAAAAGAAGCTACCAGGGAGTCACTTAGCATAGTATACAATGAAGTGGTAAAAACAATAAATATAGAGTTTGGGTTTTATAAGAAAAACTCTTGACAGATTCTTAAATGACTGTTATCTAAAGGAACATCAAGGATTTGGTAAATAATGTCATGTTTCTAGAAGGATAATGAGGGCTGAAAAGAGGACAATCAGCAAAGAACAGAGAAATGGTCCTTTAGATGTCATCTATTTCAAAGGGATAAACAGTCACCCCTTTGTGCCTAAAAGAGGGGGACATGATAGCAGTGTTCCAATATTAGAAGAGGGTCAACCTATTTTCTAAAGCACCAGAAGGCAGGACAAGAAGCAATGGATGGAAGCTGAACAAAAAGAGAAGTGACCTAGAACTAAGGAAAAATTTCCTGATAGTAAGAATAATCAACCAGTGGAGCAACTTGCCTTCAGAAGTTGTGAGTGCTCCAAACACCGGAGGCTTTTAAGAAGGGACTGTCTAAAATGGTATAGGTTCGCCTGCTTGGGCAGGGACTTGGACTAGAAGACCTCCAATATCCCTTCCATCTCTTTTATTCTGTGGATTATAATAATATTTGGAACAAAGAGCTCATTTTTATAAGAGGTGAATCAATATGGCTCCAGATTTCTTAGTCATTAAAATCCAATGATGCTAAATTGGAACACATGATTATGCACATCCTAACAATGATTTAAGCATGTTATCATTAACTCCTGGGAACCAAATTTAAGCTTTCATAAATGTCTAAATGCTAAAATGCAGCTTTCTTTGAAATGCTAATTGTTTTGCACACGAGAAAGAAGAAATGAGACATCTCAAGCTAATGAAGCAAATGGTAGCATGAGAAGAAGGGATTTATATCTATTAAGCCCTGGGAGATATTTGGGACAAGCTGGGCTTAGAAAACATATTTCTCAGCCTTTATTGCATTTGTAGATAGGAGAGATAGACCCCAGGAGCATCTGTAGAGCAGTGGTGAGGAATATTCATGCTTTCTGACAAAAAACAATCTTGGAGTCTAAGTAAGTACAAATGAGTTGCCCGGGACATCAGTCCTATGATGTTACATGGACTGAATTTGATTCTGTAATCTTGATCATATGAATATGGTCCTCTGAACTATGAGTCTGGCTTTCTGTTTGTTAGATCCATGCTCCTCCAGGGTGGTCAAGGCAGCCGAATAATAATTGAATTGTGATTGGGCTTCTTGGAAGGGGTTCCTCTGATCTTGAAGGAGGCAGCAGTATGACCCTTTTTCAAGAAGCCATCACTAGACCTTTTCATCTTGGATTTCCCTTTGTGGTCAAAGAGAAAGTAGTTTAATAGCAGCTGCTGAGGGCCTTGGAGAAGATAGATTATCTGGATTTTGAGCCAGGATACAATATTAAAATAGCATTGGTTGTCCTTGACAATTACCATTGATGGAGCTGGCATGGAGATGGTGCATCCAACATTGCGTTCACTGATCTCAATATTTTCCAATACCATCATCTATGGTGGACTTGATGCAGGAGTCAGGAGTTGGGGTATTGTGCTACAGTTTTTGGCCTTCTTCTCCTGATTGATTCTGATCAGTGTCACTAAGGGTAGGGGAGAGGTAAAACCTATAGCCCCACATTGGAGGGGGAAGGGTTTCTCAGAACGAGACTCTCTCACTTCTCTTGTTTAACAACTACATCAAACTATCAGGTGAGATCTGTCAGTTTGGGGTCCAGTATCATCAGCATGCTGATGATACTCAATTGTATAAAACTTCAGGCTGTGCAGGTGAGTCTGTCAATGTATGGTACTAACCTAATGTCTGAAGGCTATTTGGGTCAGGATGGAGAAAAACAGAATCAGATTCAAACCTGAGATTTGTAGGGATTGCACTTCCCTATTTAAGACTAGTGGATAATTTAAGGATCCTCCTGAATTTGTAATTATTTCTTGAAGAGTAAATTGCAGCTTGGCTAGCAAGGCTTTTGCACAGGCCCACCTCATATGCAGTTGTGCCTTTTCTGCAACTAGGAGGTTCTTCAGATGGTCACTCACACCCTAGTCACCTCATGACTGGTCTATTGCAATGTGATCCACATGGGGTTATCCTTGAAGATCAGCCAGGAGCTACAGCAGGGGCCAAAAGCAGAGGTGCAGATAGTAATGGATGTTTCTTACTACATTTCCAACAGCAGAATTGGGCAGAATGGGTACACTCTAGGGTTTTTTCGATTACATATTATCATGCTGTGGGATGGAGGAAGTATACCTTCTCTGTTGCTGATGTCACCCTCTGGAATAGCGCGCCCCCCCTAGAGATAATATGGTTCTCATCCTTTAAATGTGTTGTAGGTCTGTGAATATTTGATTCTGTTCCTAGGTCTGGGGTTAAAGACACCCCAGACTTAGTGAAGACACTGGTGATTTTTGGTTATTTGTATGGCTAGGTTTAGGTGATCATGTTTTTTTATATTATGTATTCTTTTAAAATTGTAAGCTGCTCAGAATCTTTTGGAGTTGGATAGCTTTGAAATTGAATGAATGAATGAATGAATGAATGAATGAATGAAGAATAAGCTCTGCTTTAACTTAAAGAGCCCAGAGTACTAGTATTCAAACACATACATGTGCCACTGTTAAACTGAATTCTGAGGAATACTAAGGAGCATCTTTCAGGAAAAAACATACCAAAAA